AAGATACAAAAGCTTTTGGACTGGGTACTATGGTATGTGCCTGAAATTGTAACATCCAGGATTCTGAGACAGGGGATGGCGAGTTTAGCCTGGGCTACATAGTAAGATCCTGTCTCAGAAAAAGAAAGTGAGGAAGGGAGCAAAGGAGGGAGGAAGGGAGAGGAAAAAGAAAATGACAATAAAGAAGAAAGAACTTTTGTACCTTAGCAACAAGAAAATAAACTAGAACCCTATTACAACTTCTAGGTAAGGTGGCAGACTAGACGATGCCTCTGTGCGATCCGCGACAGAAGTATCAGAATAAGGAAAGGCAGACTCTGTTCCAAAGACAGAAAGAGGAGAAGAGCTTCAGAAACTCCGAAAGGAGGGATAGGATGGCCAGCAGTCCAGCGAGAGCGAAAGGCAAAGCTGGGAGAGGAAGAAAATCAAGCCAAACACAGCTCCACCTGAATCTTCTGTCAGGGGCAGGAGACAAAGCGGTTTGCTTTTCCTGTGTGGCACAGGGGCCTGAACCCTCAAATTCGGCTGCTCTCTAAGATGGCCCCCAAATGAAACTAGCAGGGATAAGCAAATACCAAAACACAGGAATATGGAAAGGACATCACCCCAAAAGGCTAACTCCTCAACTAACAACCTCAAAGACACTGAAATGAATTAAACGTTAAATAAAGATTTCAAAATTTAGGAGTGAAAATGATCAGTGACCCTCAAGAGGTTACAAACAAGCAGATGAATAAGGAAATCCTTTAAAGACTTGGAGGGGAAGCCAGCACACAGAACAAGTAAGCGGGTAGCAGAACAAACGAGGAAGTCAGCAACATGGAAGAGAAAGTCAGCAAACAACTTTTAAAAAGGTGTAGAAATGAAAAACTGGATGCATCATTCAGACAACCAGGAAGGAAGAACACCAAATATGAAGAGCAAAGTTAAGAAAACACTACATTCAAACAGCAATAAAGAAACAGAATAGTCAGGCCTGGTGGTGCAAGACAATAATCATAACTACTTGGGAGGTTCAGGTAAGAGGGTCACAAGTTCAAGGTCAGCCTGGGCAATTAATACAAGTTCATTTCAAATTTAAAAGTGTGGTGAGGGCAGGGATACAGCTTGAAGATAAGGCACTTACCTTGCATTCTAATCCCAGATCCATAAAAAGAGAATCAAACAAGAGAAAGAAAATCTGTCCAGGACCAAAACATCCAAGAACTCTAGGATACAATCAAAAAACTAAATTTAAGATCCACAGGTAGGAGGAGCAGCTGAGATACAAACTAAAGGCCTAAAGAATCTATTTAAGGAAACCACAACAGACTATTTCCCAATGTAGAGAAAGAAACAGACACCCAAACACAAGGAGTATTTTGAACTCTAAATAGATATGACCACAGAAGCATCTCTTGATGACATGATACAGCTAAATGCCAAACACACATAGCCTGGTTCAGCAGGCAAACTTATTGCCAAGTCTGACAACTCCTGGGACCATGTAGTAAATAGAGAATCAATTCCTGTGAATTGTCCTCTGACTGCTACATATGCACTGTGTACACAACACACACACACACACACACACACACACACACACACAAGCTAAGTAAATAAAATATAATTTAAAATTGCCCAAACATAAAGCCTGAGTACTGGTATACTCAAGTACTGGTGGCTTTAACCAGTAATCCCAGAATTCAGGAGTTTGACGCAAGTCCAGTGAGCTCTTCACCAGCCTAGGTTCCAGAGTGAGACTCTGCCTCAAAACAAAACAGAATACATAGCATGGCAGTGGTGGCCCACACCTTTAATCCCAGCACTCAGAGAGAATTAATCCCAGGACAAAGTTACACAGAGAAACCCTGTCTTGAAAAATGAAAGGGCGGGGGTGGGGTGGGGGGAGGAAGAATACATAACCTGGTCTGCATATGACTTTGTTTTAAAAATAATCAGCAAAGCAAAAATAATAACCAAATAAAAAAACAAAGCATTAAAATTACAAGACAAAGAAACAATATTAAAAACTATAAGAAAAAAGTGTCAGCTCATAGATAAAGGAAAGCACGCTCCAGCAACACCAGATCTCTCTCTGATCAGCAGCCTTAAAAGCCAGGCATGGGTTTCAAGCCCTGAAAATAAGTAAGTGTCCATCAGGAGTGCTATATAGAGCAATATGGAGAAATGAGGGCATTTCAAGACAAGCCCAGACAAAGACAATTCGTGACCGCCATGACGGCACTGCAGACAGTCCCTTAAAGGAACCTACATAGAGGATGAAGAAACAATCTCAATTACGAGAAACCGAGCCCAGGAAGGTAAGTACTCTGTGAGAGAACTGTATGATCAGAGAAGAGCTAGGGAGGGCTGCTGCGGAAGCTCCTTCCGCTCCTTCAGCCAATAGCCTTTAAGATATCACAAGGACAAGGACTGGGAAAGACAGAAAATCTCAGACAACAGAGGGCTTCATCATGCCCAGTGTGGTACACCAGAAAATTCCTGATAGGATTAGGGCAAGAGTTAAGAACAAATAAGAATCCAGCCAGCCAGAAAAACCAACAACATTACAGGAATTAGCAAATGTTTCTCAATAAAGCTTTAACTGTAAATGTCCTCAACTCGCAGGTAAGAAGATGCAAGCTGACATCTCAAAAACAAGATGCAAGAAATGCACCTCGCCAACAAAGACCCACAGGCAACTGAGCATAAAGGATGGAAGTCAATTTTTGTTTGTTTGTTTTTCAGAGAGGGCTCTTCTGTGTAGCCCTAGCTGTCCTGGAACTTGCTCTTGTAGACCAGGCTGACCTCGAACTCACAGAGATCTGCCTGCCTCTGCCTCCCGAGTGCTGGGGATTAAAGGCGTGTGCCACCACTGCCTGGTCTGGAAGCCAATTTTTAATCAAGTAGGCTGAAGTTGAAAAAAAATTAGAATGAAATAATCAAATATCTACTCAGATATTTGATAAAGTAGACTTCAAACTAAAAATAATCAGAAAAATTTAAAGGCCACCATATATTAATGAAGGGGACTATACCAAATGTTAATAATATGGATCAAATATCGGAGCTTCCAATTTAAAAAAAAAACACTAATAAGCATAAAAAGCCAGACAGGTAATCATACAGTAATAGTGGAAGAAATAGTACACTCATCCCTCCTTCAGATAAGGCATCAAAACTAGAAATTAACAACAACAAATTTCAGAGTTAAAAAACCATGGTGCTGGCAAGTTGTCTCAGCGGGTACAAGATGCTTCTGAGCAACCTGACAACCACAGTTTGATCCATTTGGGACCCATGTGGTGGAAGGAGAAAATGACTTCTGCAAGATGTCCTCTGACCTACACACACACACACACACACACACACACACCAGGAAATAAAAAAATTAAAAAGTACTTTCGTGTATCATATCACACCACAACAGGATAAAACTAGCAACCAATTATGAGGGAAACTCCAGAAATAGACAAATACTGAAGAACATCTTTTGAATGGTCTTTGAGTCATTGAAGAAATCAGTGAGGAAATAAAATAATTCCTAGAATCAAATGAAAGTGTAAGTGTACCTTACCAGGAGATCCTAGACTGGCTAAGGTGGTTCTCAGGGGAAGGCTGTTGACCATAGCAGAGGTCAGGTCAGGGACACACACCAGCTGTCTCTACACTTGGCAGAGGCAAATGCATTGCTACTAGTTGGCGACCAGGCTGGGCTAGGCAGAAAGATCCTGTCTCAAATGAGCAAGCAAACAAACAAACCAAAATCAGAGAGATCAAAAATAAGAAATTATATACTTCCAGACAATCCTCAAAGCAGAAGACAGTGAGAATTATAAATATCAGGGGCGGAAATGAATGGAGCGGAAGCAAAGAGGATGACGGAGTCCATCTAGTGAAGAAATAGACAAACGAGCCCCCACCAATCTCACCAAGAGAGAGAAGGAAGGAGATGCTTTAAGAGAGTCTGGTGAAATTCATGTCATTAGGAAATATTTTGAAAACCTACATTTGAATATCAAATGGAATAAAATTCTAGGCATGTGTGGCTTACTGCAGTTAGAGCAAAGGGATGTACCACCAAACAGTTCTATAGCAAAGCCATGACACTGAGAACCACGACCAAATGCCTTTGCCCCTGAGTTACACCAAACCTTTAAAGAAAGCCTAAAACCAACGCTTCTCCAACTGTTCCATAAAACAGAAAGGAAGACTAGCTGGGTGTGCTGACACCTGTCTGTAATCCCAGCAGCCTTCAGGAGACTGAAACAGAAGGGCCGCTACGGGTTTAAAGTCAGTCTTGGCCTCACAGCGAGTCCTAGGCAAGCCTGGGCTACATAGCAAGATAGTATCTCCAAACAAACAAATGCCAGTGAGATGGCTCAGGAGGGAAAGAGCCTTGCCACCAAGCCTGACAGCCTGGGCTCAGCTGCAAGGATAAAAGGTGAAAACCATGTCCTGCATGCTGTTCTCTCATCTTCATACATGTGCCATAGCATGCCACACCCACGCACACGCACATGTACACTTACAAGTAAGTAAATAGATGTAGTTTTAGAAATAAAAATTTTTAAAAAGGAATGGAAAGA